TAAAATGGTAGTTACAACCTCCTGCTTCATGTTCAGCATCGTGTTAAAGTAAGCTGGTTTTGTCAGTATAATGTGACTGGATAGGGTGTCCTGCTGGGTGATTTCAGCAGTATACGTCAGTGTGGTAGCACATATAAAGTCGGTTACAGTTTCGAACGACATGTATTACACGGAGGGTTCAATGAGCGCAGTTGTTGAACTATACACTGTGACGTTATCAAAAACTCGACCTAACGTAAAACTGGCCATTCAGATTACATCCCAGTCTAATATAATGAGACTGAGAAAATGGCACAAAATGGAAAGACATATACGTTTAATATCCTTTATTTCTTAGAAATCGAATGTATTCAGCAAAGAAGAGGAAATGAACGAACGGTAGGACGGACGAACCACACGACGAACAAACAAGTACAAATGTTATAAAACAATAGATGCGATTAAATGCATGAAAAACAGGATGTTGAAACAAACTTTTGAAGTACTTTGATGTTATTTCTGTGAAGTTTACACGTCTTTTTAAATATCTTAATGAACCTTAATCATGTCGATGAATCTATTACAATTAAATAGGAAATGAAGGTTATAATAGTTTTGATCTGACAGGACAGTTAACACATCAACATCAAAGATGTCCTATGTAGACGTGTAAACAGATAGCTTTGTACCCGGATATACCCACTTAATATTTAATGTTTTTTGTTCTTTTAACTGACTTGATGAAATCAGGACGAGTGAATGTTTAGGATAGATAAATACTATACCATGATACTATATCAGCTGGTCACTTCGTGGGGGGCACTGACGTACATCGATCATTTCAATCTTCCAGTTTTGAACGAAATATTCTGATACTGAAGTGAGTTGATGTTGATGAAATGAAACATCAACTGATTTTAAACTTACGAAGATGAGACGCATTTCACATAGATATTTGGAATTAGGGTTGAACTTGTATCGTTTAAAATGTGTTTCTGGACAATTATGAATCAAATCCATCATGTTAATAATAACTTAGCTGTCGACAAATTCAATATCGGAGACCTCGCGGGAGTTACAATAACAATTAGCCGATTAATATTGATGACTGTAATTTTATGTTTCAATCCCAACAATAAAAGTCAACCCACCACAACCACGAACACCACAAACATTGATTATAGATTTAACAAAGACCCTGCCACAACTCAAATATCCATGGTTTTGTAAACATCGTATTTGCCGACTGAACTGTCAGATAGGGTTATGACACGTATGTGAATGAGTTGTGCCGAAAGGCAGGCGGGACAATGTTGACTTTAAAACAATTGTCTGATTATGTTTTTTTCTACACAGCACATCAAATACCAAAACGTACTGCTTGTTAATGATATCATCAATCTTAGTTTGACTCCTATGGAAGGTGTCTAGATGTGCCATCGCTTGTGACAATGGTTTGTAACATTGTTCCATAGCAGGGAAACATATACATATTGTAAAAGATATATATATATATATCGTTTTATATGTGCCAGTCAGCATCTCAACATGTACCCTTCATCAAATACACCATATCGCCTACGATAGAGTCATTCTTTAAAAGTAGCACTCTGGTAGTCCCACTATCCAGTCACCACTAATCTGATTGTCCCACTATCCAATCACCACTAATCTGATTGTCCCACTATCCAGTCGCCACTTATCTGGTTGTCCCACTACCCAGTCACCACTAATCTGGTTGTCCCACTATCCAGTCGCCACTTATCTGGTTGTCCCACTACCCAGTCGCCACTTATCTGGTTGTCCCACTACCCAGTCACCACTAATCTGGTTGTCCCAATATTCAGTCACCACTAATCTGGTTATCCCAATATCCAGTCACCACTAAACTGATTGTCCCACTATCCAGTCACCACTAATCTGATTGTCCCACTATCCAGTCGCCACTTATCTGGTTGTCCCACTACCCAGTCACCACTAATCTGGTTGTCCCACTATCCAGTCGCCACTTATCTGGTTGTCCCACTACCCAGTCGCCACTTATCTGGTTGTCCCACTATCCAGCCACCACTAATCTGGTTGTCACACTTCAACCACCACTAATCTGGTTGTCCCACTATCCAGACACCACTAATCTGGTTGTCACACTTTCCAGTCACCACTAATCTGGTTGTCCCACTATCCAGTCACCACTAATCTGATTATCCCAATATCCAGTCACCACTCGTCGGATTGTCCCACTATCCAGTCACTACTAATCTGGTTGTCCTACTATCCAGTCACCACTAATCTGGTTGTCCCACTATCTAGTCACCACTAATCGGATTGTCCCACTATCCAGACACCACTAGTCTGGTTGTCCCACTATCCAGTCACCACTAATCTGGTTGTCCCACTATCCAGTCACCACTAATCTGGTCGCCCCACTATCCAGTCACCAAAAATCTGGTTGCCCCAATATCCAGTCACCACTAATCTGGTTGTCCCACTATCCAGTAACCACTAATCTGGTTGTCCCACTATCCAGTTACCACTAATCTGGTTGTCCCAATATTCAGTCACCACTAATCTGATTATCCCACTATCCAATCACCACTAATCTGGTTGTCCCACTATCCAGTCGCCACTAATCTGGTTATCCCACTATCCAGTCACCACTAATCTGGTTGTCCACTATTCAATCACCACTAATCTGGTTGTCCCACTATCCAGTCACCACTAATCTGATTATCCCAATATCCAGTCACCACTCATCGGATTGTCCCACTTTCCAGACACCACTAATTTGGTTGCCCCACTATCCAGTCACCACTAATCGGATTGTCCCACTATCCAGACACCACTAATCTGGTTGTCCCACTATCCAGTCACCACTAATCTGGTTGTCCCACTATCCAGTCACCACTAATCTGGTTGTCCCACTATCCAGTCACCACTAATCTGGTTGTCCCACTATCCAGTAACCACTAATCTGGTTGTCCCACTATCCAGTCACCACTAATCTGGTTGTTCCACTATCCAGCCACCACTAATCGGATTGTCCCACTATCCAGTCACCACTAATCTGGTTGTCCCACTATCCAGCCACCACTAATCTGGTTGTCACACTTTCCAGTCACCACTAATCTGGTTGTCCCACTATCCAGTCACCACTAATCTGGTTGTCCCACTATCCAGTCACCACTAATCGGATTGTCCCACTATCCAGACACCACTAATCTGATTGTCCCACTATCCAGTCTTCACTAATCTGGTTGTCCCACTATCCAGTCACCACTAATCTGGTTGTCCACTATCCAGTCACTACTAATCTGGTTGTCCACTATCCAGTCACCACTAGTCGGATTGTCCCACTATCCAGCCACCACTAATCTGGTTGTCACACTTCAACCACCACTAATCTGGTTGTCCCACTATCCAGACACCACTAATCTGGTTGTCACACTTTCCAGTCACCACTAATCTGGTTGTCCCACTATCCAGTCACCACTAATCTGGTTGTCCCACTATCCAGCCACCACTAATCTGGTTGTCACACTTTCCAGTCACCACTAATCTGGTTGTCCCACTATCCAGTCACCACTAATCGGATTGTCCCACTATCCAGACACCACTAATCTGATTGTCCCACTATCCAGTCTTCACTAATCTGGTTGTCCCACTATCCAGTCACCACTAATCTGGTTGTCCACTATCCAGTCACCACTAATCTGGTTGTCCACTATCCAGTCACCACTAGTCGGATTGTCCCAATATCCAGACACCACTAATCGTGTTGTCACACTTCAACCACCACTAATCTCACTTTCCCACTTCTCACCCACACCTAACTACAATGGTAACTCTACTTCTCTTTTGGGGCCATCGTATAGTGTATATTATCAAATGAAAAAAATTAAAATATCTACCCAAATTTCAATAGCGTTATTATGTGCTTCACTTGAACGAGCTGTCAAGCATTCGGATACGGAAGGAAAAGAAGACACTTGTATACTGTTAAGTTTATTGATCCCTAAGGATCTGAGGGTTCTGTGGCTGAATTGTTCCTCACGTACTTTGGAGGATGTGACGGGCCTCCCATCTGTTGTACAGTGGCATAGTTAACCGCTCCTGCTAGGAGACTGTGCCTCAAAAGTCTTAACTGAAACACAAACCTGATAAAAGATGTGCAAAGAATATCTATCAACACCATGGAGTGAAACTGCAGTATGTGTAACGGACAGAATGCTATTAAGACTCACAGATATCACTTCAGTGAGAATTTCTTCACAGCCGTTTGATGATTTGTTGTAAACATCATAACCCCTCCTCCCACTTTTCCCCTTCATTATAAGATTTAGGACTTGGGAACCGTAGAAGAGCGTTAGTGTTTTATAATTTAACAATAGTATTGGTGATGATACAAGTGACATTTAAATAAAGACATGTGCACAATTCCTACGCTGTTCGTGACATTTAGAGAAAACGTCTTCTTCAATGTCGGTGACGGTTACATTATACCATATATCACTTTTTATTCATTGCGTCAGAAACAAATAAAATGATAGATGACAAAAAAAAACCACCACATCGTATTGATACTAATTCACACTTCGGTAATGATGACGTGGATCTTTTTTATGGATCGTAAACATGTATTGTTTAGGGCCGCGAGATTTTGTTTTCAGCCGACGTCATCAAAAATTCACACATCCATAAAAGGACAAATGTTGGAGCGGCGCGCTTGTCCTTTGTATGTATGTATCTGTTTGACCAAAGGTAATTGACGTATATTCTGTTAGACTGCCGTAAAGTGCAGTGGATGTAAAACGTGATGTTGGGCCTATGGTAATATATTATGGTGTAGGGAGGGCCGGTACTCCAATTAGTCTTTCTACTAGTTCATAATAGATATTAATGACTCTGCATCCGAGATGGAAACAAAACCTTGGAGTTTTCCGTGAAGGCATGTCATCGAGGACAAGGGGTCCTGAAGAGGGGGAACTTCTGTCGGGACGAGGGGTACTGGAAAGGGTAAACTTCTATCGGGACGAGGGGTACTGGAAAGGGTAAACTTCTGTCGAGCACAAGCGGTCCTGGAGAGGGTAAACTGCTGTTGAGGACAAGGGGTCCTGGAGAGGGTGAACTTCTGTCGAGTAGAAGGGGTCCTGGAGAAGATTAACTTCTCTCGAGGACAAGAGGACCTGGAGAGGGTGAACTTCTGTCGAGTACAAGGGGTCCTGGAGAGGGTAAACTTCTCTCGAGGACAAGGGGTCCTGGAGAGGGTAAACTTCTGTCGGGACAAGGGGTCCTGGATAGGGTAAACTTCTGTCGAGGACAAGGGGTCCTGGATAGGGTAGACTTTTGTCGAGGACTGTTATTATACAGTAAAACTAATAGAAGAGTTCAACTTTTGGTATGCGGAGCATGACCATAAATATGATTCCATTTACTTTAATGACAGTGATACATTATTTGGTAACCCAGCTTTTGACTCACTAGTTAACCACTGTTTTCTTTTAATAAAATATTATATATATTGTTGCCGTATGAATGAGAGTATTCCTAAATTTTGCACTTGTAAGCCTATTTTTAAGAGAACAATGAGATTGGAAAAGTATATTGCAGTCAGAAATAGGAATATAGTAGATTTTCAAAACAAATGGGGAATGTTTGAACAAATACTGAATAATGAAAGTACTAATTAAATTTATAAATGCAATAAGATTTCCAGATATTGAATATTGAAGTCCCTTTCGAGTTATTTTTATTTGAAAAATATGTGTCACTTAATTGCTGAATGCCTATGGGGGCCAGTCCGAATGACCTCAATTATTTTTTTATTTTTTTTCCTGATGTTTAAGTGTTTGATGCACAGGCAATTATTATAAAGGAACAAAATTGTTGTAGTGTTAGAGATATGTACAAATTGTGTGCACTGTCCATCAATATGTTATTTTGGGTTCTGTGTATGCACAAGTATGTACATATATATACTGTATGTATGGGTGTGTGATGGTGTGTGCGTGAAGGTGTATATAGATACATCATGAGAATGGGTATTTAAGTTTTTGTATGTCAGTAATTGAATTTTAACAATTATATAAATAAATCTTGCTAAAAATAAAAAAATTAAAAAAAAACTTCTCCCGAGGACAAGGGGTCCTGGAGAGGGTAAACTTTTGTCGGGACAAGGGGTCCTGGATAGGGTAAACTTCTGTCGAGGACAAGGGGTCCTGGAGAGGGTAAACTTTTGTCGAGGACAAGGGATCCTGGATAGGGTAAACTTTTGTCGGGACAAGGGGTCCTGGAAAGGGGAAAGTTCCGTCGAGGACAAGGGGTCCTGGATAGGGTAAACTTCTGTCGAGGACAAGGGGTCCTGGAGAGGGTAAACTCTTGTCGAGGACAAAAGGGTCCTGGAGAGGGTAAACTTTTGTCGAGGACAAGGGCTCCTGGATAGGGTAAACTTTTGTCTGGACAAGGGGTCCTGGAAAGGGAAAAGTTCCGTCGAGGACAAGGGGTCCTGGAGAGGGTAAACTTCTGTCGAGGACAAGGGGTCCTGGATAGGGTAGACTTTTGTCGAGGACAAGGGGTCCTGGAGAGGGTAAACTTTTGTCGGAACAAGGGACCCTGGAGAGGGTTAACTTCTGTCGGGACAAGGGGTCCTGGATAGGGTAAACTTCTGTCGAGGACAAGGGATCCTGGAGAGGGTAAATTTTTGTCGAGGACAAGGGGTCCTGGATAGGGTAGACTTTTGTCGAGGACAAGGAGTCCTGGATAGGGTAAACTTTTGTCGGGACAAGGGGTCCTGGAAAGGGAAAAGTTCCGTCGAGGACAAGGGGTCCTGGAGAGGGTAAACTTCTGTCGAGGACAAGGGGTCCTGGATAGGGTAGACTTTTGTCGAGGACAAGGGGTCCTGGAGAGGGTAAACTTTTGTCGGAACAAGGGACCCTGGAGAGGGTTAACTTCTGTCGGGACAAGGGGTCCTGGATAGGGTAAACTTCTGTCGAGGACAAGGGATCCTGGAAATTGTAAACTTATGTCGGAACAAGGGACCCTGGAGAGGGTTAACTTCTGTTGAGGACAAAGGGTCCTGGAAAGGATAAACGTCTGTCGGAACAAAGGGTCCTGGAAAGGGTTAACGTCTATCGAGGACAAGGGGTCCTGGAGAGGGGGATGTTTGTCGAGGACAAAGCGTCTTGGAGAGGGGAAACTTCTCTTGAGGACAAGGGGTCCTGGAGAGGGGGAACTCCTTTCGAGGACAACATAGAACACAAGTTCCACGAGACAATAAGATCGTACAACAGGTAGTACATGGTGCTTGTAATAAGTTGGAGATGTCATTTACAATAAAAGACTCGTCAACAAACTTGTATTTGAAATATTGTAAGTGAGATTTTTTTTCTAATAATGAGTACATTTCTGTAATATTTGAAAAAATAATCTTAAATATCAGAGAACATGATATTAATGACAAAAACCTGAACAAACAACAATAACCTTTTCTGTAGGATCGACTTAAACGAAATTCTAATTGTAATTTGATATTGCAGCGAAGTAAGTGCTGTTATGCTATCACTGAAGACCGGTTGCTTAACACGATCTAACAACCTGCGTGTTCCGGAGTAGGGAGGTAATGATTACGTGTTCAAGAGAAGGAACTACGTCTTCTAGAGAAGAAGGTTTTTGACTACATGTTCCAGAGTAGAAGACTTATGACTTCTGTTCCGGAGGAGGGGGCATTTGCGTACGTGTTCCAGAGAAGGAGTGTTTTTTGAGAAGGCTTATGGATATGTAATCCAGAAAATGAGGCTTTTAACTACGTGTTCCAGAGAAGGAGGATTTTGACTTAAGGTTCCAGAGAAAGAAGCGTTTAAATATGTGTTCCAGGGAAGACAGCCTTTGACTACGTGTTCCAGGAAACGAGGCTTATGCCTGTGTGTTCCAGAGATGAAGTCTTATGATTTCGTGTTCCAGAGAAGAATACTAATGACTGCGTGTTCCAGAGAAGAAGGCTAATGTCTACGTGTTCCAGAGATGGAGACTTATGTCTATGTGTTCCAGAGAAGGAGACTTTTTACTGCGTGTTCCAGAGACGAAGGCTTATGTCTACGTGTTCCAGAGAAGGAATTTTATAACAACGTGTTCTAGAGAAGGAGGCCTGCAACTACAATATAACGCTACATTCAGTTCTGATTTACGGGAGCGGAGACGGAAGGGAAACATCCGGAATGTTATCGTATTCCCCACGTGCTAAAACAATTAAGAAAACAGTTGTTAGGTTTTTTATCTATAAACGTGTGTGGGTCTAAGTGTTCTTGATCAAACAAATGTCAAGAATAAAGATCAGAGATACATTTTCCGTTATGATTAAAGGTTGCTTTCCTTGACATTTCATTTCTTGTGGAAGTTTTTGTGTAAACAAGGGTACATCCCGTCTGTACTGATTACCGTTACTCCTGTGAACTGTTTCAGAACTTCCATGGCGATGGCACTGACAGTAGACTTCTCAAACATCTCCCCCAGAGGCAAACATGGGCGCTGTTTAAATATTGGCCTCTCAAGAGACCGCCTTACTACAGTGACGCTTGGAACAAATCGCTACTGTGTCGACAGTTCTACTGGCGTCAGACAAACCAGTCAATCATTTTTGGGGGAAAAAATGGCGACGAAACCTGTTTTGGTGCTACGATTGCCTCTTTGTGTGAGAAAGAATGTTTAAAAAAATGCTGAATCGACAAGAACCTGGGAACATGTCGTCTATCAGTTTCTTAAGAGAAGACTTTTTAGTATAGGTATTGCCTGTTTTATCTTTATCCTTAAATATACACAGGAATCACGTGACCTGTACATAGATCTGCTCGGCACCAGGTATCATTTATCAAAGGTTTAAGTATGTTATGCGTTGTTCCTTATCCTGCCACTGGTTACGGTGGAAAAGATTGTCGAGACAAACGAACTAGAAAATAAACTATTGATTGACAAAGGATATCTTCATCAGCATTAAATGATATATCATTGCCTAAACGTGTGATTCTTGTGAGAGAAAATCGAGCAAACATCACAATTTGGAAGCCACGGTCTGGCCTACCTTTTTGTCTATTGGTTTCAACGTACTGAACATTTTGTAAAAACGACATCGGTAAGACTTCAGTAATATTGTATATTAATACTGTAGACTGTTGAAAACATACATCGTTATAATTATCACTTTGTCTACCGCTGTTGTTCATACTGCCCTGTTACAAGGACGGTCGAATGTTGATTATTAGCCTAAACATACGTCAATCATTACATTCAAAAACATAGTAAGGATTTCAAAAGATTCAGTTTGATAATTGTGGGGAAGTGTGCCTGGCAGCTGGAGGTGTTTGATGCTCGTTAGTTTGCCTGTTGGTTCCTTTGTTGTATACCTTGTTCTCATTTGAGAACGTGACATTACTTACTTGGATTGGACAAGATTTATATGATTGGTGTCGTCAATGAAGCAGAAGACACTTACTCTTCCAGAACACCTGGGCTCATTTTCCTTGTAGTTTTTTAAGAGTCTCCGTGTAAACCTTTCATTTGTTCCTATTTTTCTCCTGGTGTTATTGAATTTGAGTTTAGATGATGACTTTGTTGACATGTTGGTATCTATTAATATTTACAATTAGCTTAATTTAAGTGGAGATTTCTACACATATTAATTGTTATCGACGGAATCATTGTGTACAGTTTGTCCACGGTCACTCTGAGTACATCTACATTTCCGTAATATTTTAACATTATCCATTGTGCTAGATGTTTGAAATATGTTGATTACATTAATGTAATGAAAACAATGTAGATAATTTGACGAGGACACTTTGTGTTGTGTGTTGATAGTTGTTTTGTACATCCGAGTTAAAGAAAGGTTTTAACTAATTATTCGCATAAAACCCCAGAATTAAAAAATACGCAAATCTAAGAAGAAAAAACAAAACAAAAAACAAAAAACCGTAGCATTTTAAAAAATTATTTCCCGACAGTTGAAGTTTTCGTTGATGGCAATACATTTACAAGAGAGAAAAATTCATGCAATCTTGGTTAAAAGGGAGATAACTGTACCTTCAATACAGTGCACTAGAAATTCAACTCGCCTATTTCCCATCAATGTGTTAAAGCAATGAGCCAGACAGTCGTTAGCCAGGATTCTATGTAAATCCAGGTACTGTTGCTAACTCATCAGTGATGAGATTTTAGTTTTTTCTCGTTAAAGCTGAAAGCTTGATTATTATATGATGAAAAGATTATAAATATGTAATTACGCTAAATACGATGGAATATAGCGGGCAGAGCACTCCCTGTAATAAATAGATCACCCAGTCATGTAAAGAAAAGGCAATTTCATGGCTATTTTAAACCGCGGGTTATAGCGCAAAGGTCACAATACCATTGATAAATAGGTCGTTGTTTAAATTTGGTAAAACGCGGCCGTCAACCCCGTAGAAATATGACGTCACCAGCCTTACTGTAGATAAAGCAGTTTTACGAAACTCTTGTTTTACAGATGTGATATTTAAACAAATCATTTGAAGCTTAAACAGAACAGACCAAACGATGAGTTAACTGGCTTTACCGTCACCGTTTGAGAGGACAATGGCGATACCTATAACAGGATTTTGATGACAAGCGGAAATAGAACCTTAAAGATATTCAGGACAGTCATTGATAGCTACAGATATACATGTATTTAGGCAAGCTGATTAAAATACAGATCAACAATTACATTACGTCACTAAGATCTGACGGTGGCCAGTAAGGGGTCAGAGGACAGCAATGTTTAGCCAGTCAAAACTCGTCTCTCATGTGCCTGTTTGGTAGCGTAAGTTAGAGGGAAAAGATGAAGCGGTGTAACAGGCAATAAAAGCAGTGTTGAAAATATCAAAAGAATCCGTTAAATCTACTTATGATAACTGATAACAATACCCAGTAAATGATACATCCTTTTTCATGCAAGGCGTCTTGCGACATGGTCATCTTGTTATAGTTGAGATTCGGAACACATTTTTATTTTCTATTTGATAAAGACCAACCATGTCATGTGAACGTGACCCCTTACCGGCCACTATCGGATCTTCATAACGCAGTGGGTAATGATGATATGCATTTTAATCAGATTGGCATTAGGTTGAGAATTTAGTCAAACCTCTTTATCTCGGGCATTCCGTCGGTCCCTGCCTAACACACAAAACATTCGAACTCACTTAAATCGAATACTCAGTTATCTCGAAATCCACCCTCCCCCGTTCAAGATAAAAAGGTTCGACTGTACTTTAATTCCTCCGTTATCTGCCTCTTAGATTGTTATATCTATCTTCCGTTTAATCACCATGTTTTACTGCAAAGGTTTTCCAAATGTTAATCTGATGTAAATATAACATAATTGTGACGTCATCATGATATAGAACTACGTGTTAACCATCCTCACAGAGACATTTGATACTGTAGTTATTGGAATAGACTAATTAGTTTCTAATCCTGTCTGGGTTATCTGATTCATTGATTAACTTTTTTGTGAACATTTCAAAATGGTGGCAAACACAGCTTTAGACTTTCCTGTATATTTTTTTTAGAAATGTACTCTTCTTTTGTCTTGAACTCCAAATATATAAATACAGGGTTGTACTGTAAAATGTTTCACTGTTGACTGGATTTATTCCCACTGTAAATAGCCAAGAAATCATGTTCTATCAGAAGCTGGGAGCAACCTCACTGCACAACATGCGGGAGTCCCGCTGCATGTCATCCAAAGCAATTTTTGAAAATCTGTCCTGTGAAAGGGCACAACTACAATAGGGAAGGATGATTGGTGGTGTTTTAACAACAAAAACAACAACAACAACAATTTCCCCACCCGCATTACGACCTGGTATCGTAGTGAACGTTCACACACGACTACGTAATCGTCAGTAAATATTGGAGTTTGTTATCGATAAAGCCCGAGAAGTGAACCATTTCAATACACACATATTTCAATACTATAATACTATATAACTTTTGTTTTGTTAATATATACCTGTATGTTTGTGACTTAGCTTGACAATGACATCAACAACAAACATTTGTCTGCTGTGGAGGACGTGATATGACATTCAGACTGACACTAGAGACTTCGACACTAAACGTGACCGTCACTAACAGCGCATGGGAGATGATAACATGTTTAAAGTCCCTCCGAGATCGTGATGGAGTGCATCATGCAATTTGAGCATTAACCAGTGTTTACGCCGTTTTCGCTAGACTAGGTCACCCTGCCGAGATTACCTTCAGGGAGGATTTGGTTTGTTTATCCGCTATATATCACTATCTCAGAAGTATCTGCGCTTGGTTATCGTTTTGAGTTATTCAAGGTAAAATGTCTGTCAATAGTTTGTTGTTTTCACGTCACATGGAATGTCGTCTGAATTATTTCGGATAAAAACGTTTTTATCATTTTCTCAAATCATCCGACATCCAGGTCCACCATGAAATCTTAAAATTATTGTTGGAACTATTTCTTCAGACGTTCATTAACGTTCCCTTCGCTTATTTTTGTGATTTCGAATCATCTTGAATTTTGACAATATATGTTTGTTTCCGCTATTTCTTAAAGTACACTTGATGGATCTGTCTCAAAATATCATCATGTTATTCCCGTGTAATTTTAGAGTGATCGGAAAATAAAGTTGCCGACAAATGGCCATCCTTGATTTTTAATCAAAGATTTCTATCTTCATTATCCTGAGTAGTGACGAATGGAACTTGCTCAAATTTCGTTGGACATTCGCTTGGTCCCCATTAGTGCTATTTCATTTTTTAGACAAAAAATGACCAACAGCCGACAATCATAGAATATGACAAATGAAGTTTGTAACCCCTATTTCATCAGAAGTAGCTGATATGTAGTTTCACCTGGTTCTTTGTATTACATTGTCAGGTTTGGGAAGGAAAAACATAGCTGATGGAAGGTCATCTTGGATTTGGGCAATGAACGTATGGTTAAAGTTTTTTCGTAAAATGTGCTACATAGATTATTCTCAATTTCATGTTCAGGTTACCCTTAGTCTCCCCTATCCTAGTTGTGTGTGTGTTTTCTTTTCTTTTTTTTTCTAGGAAGTGATCCGAAAAAAGCGAATGGCCTACAGACGACCATCTTGCATACTGGATTTGATAGTTTAAGATTATTATCGTTATCTCTGAAATCTTATACAATTAAAATCAAATCAGACGAAAGACGATACAACAAAAGAAAACATTGTGCCGGACCAGGATACCAACATCCCACAACACTAAGAATGAAATTGGCTTTTATTTTTGACCGTTCAACAAAATTTTAATTATTTAATGTGTTATTTAATGCAACAATCCAAAAGAAGCATAAAGCGAGAGTGAGAGCATTTTTAAGCGAAAGATCAATGAAACTATCTCAATCGGGATGAAAGGGCCCATATAATTCCGATGGAAGTGTAGCCGAAACAACTTTCGGGGATCAATACCTATATAATTAACACCAA